TGTGTGTGTGTGTGTGTGTGTGTGTGTGTGTGTGTGTGTGTGTGTGTAAACACGAGGCAGAGAAATGCTTCATGGGAGCAATTTAGTCACACCGTGAATAACACTCACAACACATTAAGGATAATACATAATAAATAGTTGGATGTAGTTTTTAAAGATGTTTAATCTACTGGTCAAAATTCAAACTGCACCCATCTATCGAAGTGAAGAATGAAGTCTCACCTGTGTTAGCCAGACATTGGTGGTCATCACCTGTTCCCTTTCATGCTGCAGACAAAAAAGAAGATTTTAAAAACATTTTCAAAGTGCTTTTTGCATGATCATCCCCGCTGCTTTTTTCTGCCTCGGTTGCTCGGGCCACATGGATTTTTTTCTGCTGCCTGAAACTCACAACTCTGTGTGTGACCCCATCAGCTCATAAAAGTCCACTTTTAAACTTTTAGCTACCAGAATCCTGCATCTGTATTGTGTGTCAACCCTATAGATACAGGGAGGTACTTATGACCAATGGATTGAAAGGCAACAAAAATGGACACATGTACTTTAGTGGGGCAAATTGTGATTCTACTAATAGTTGTGAGCTTGTATTGTCAAGTATTGTCAATTATAACAAAAAACAAAACATAAATCTTTAATGTATTTTCACAAATGTAATTAACTCCAGAAACAATGTGTCTTACCACTTAAAGGATAAGTACGATTGTCACAAATCAGGTTACATGCAACATGTGTGTCCTCCCTCACCACACTGATGAGTTGGGCCAACGACACCATCAGCTGCACAGTAACCAGCTCGGAGCCGTTAGTGGCAGGGCGAATCAGTTTGTTGTAATGTGCTGGGTTTAGGAGATGTTCCACCAACCGCTCCTCCGTGTCTGCTCCCAGGCCATCTGAAATGCAAGCACACTATCATTAGCATTCACTTCTGTGTGGACAAAGAAAGCTGCACTCATCTGTATGTCTCTGCATAATAAAGAAATGGGGTAGAAACACAGCAGCAGAAATGACTGTTTGGCTTTCCCTCTCGCTTCCAGCATTTAGAGCTGCATGACTGTCCATGCATGCTGAAAAGGCCCAGTTTTAACCACAGTGTTGCTCATCACTGTTGGCTGGGGCACATCAGCACAGCTCGATATTTCGTACAAGATCTGACTTCATAAGAATGACTATACCTGTCTTAATTTCTCCATCTCTACTTCCCGTCTCCGTCACACTCCAAGTGTCTTTGCTCTGTCTCTATCTGTTGTCCCCGGCTGTTTTGCACCTCTCCACAACTGCCACTCTATGATAGCTTTGAGCTATTTTCTCTTCATCTCTGACTCACCCTTCCACCATCTTCCCTCCCTCCTCTAGGCCATCCTTCCATCAGCAGCAGACTGTACTTGTATCAGAGAGTGCTCGAGTTTAAGCAAAGCTGTCATACCACACACTGAAAGGGCGGCTTTTTTCTTTTTTCACGAGAGAGAGACATGATGGGTGGAGGGAAAAAGAACTGTCATGCACATCTTCCTTCTTTCCTCAGTCTCTCCTGCTTCTCACTCTCTGTCTCTCTAGCATCTGTTCACTGCACAGTCTCCCTCATATTTCCCCCAGACTTATTCCCTGAAAATAAACACAGTCTGCTCACCACGAATGTGACACTATCTCATACTCTCTCAGAGACTATTAAAGGTACAAGAACCCCAACATGGATTAACCTGATATGGGATGACAACTCATTTAATTGTTCAAAAGAACAATAACATGCTTATTCACATCGACTGCAAGATAGTTACAATCGTTGATTTCAAGAAGTGCTTATGTAAACTTAAACGCCTCATGGTACCTCCCGTCTGAAACCCTCTGTTTTAGATCTTGTTTATTTAAAGCTTCCCTGAAATAGGGCCAGTCTGCTGTGATTTGTCATTGGTCAAAACTAAAGTGCAGCTGCTGAGTTATAAAAGGGACTTGATGCAGCCCTGCCTTGACGTGACGCCCTGTGGTCGGGCGAGGCGAGGTGGTCGCAAATTCTGTCCAGTTTTTACCTGCTGCAGAAAAGTTGACGTGTCATATGACATTAAAACCTCACAGGAGCAACAGAGCTGTGGTTAGAAAATATAAGGCACCACGCATCAGCTGGGAACCACCTATGTTGCATCACAACTCTTCCCTGATTGGCTGAAAGCTTCTCTGACACACTTTCCCATATATGAATCCTCCAGAGAGGATAGAATGTATTATATTTCCTTAACTAGCACCTTCTTAGCTATCCATCTGTCTGACTGCATGTTATACATACGATTGTCTAAAATTTGGTCTGACAGCATATATAGTTATGAATCGTGAAATTTGTAAGGCATCCTAGTATTGTTCCCACAGAACAACATCCAGGTGGAATGATGGGTAGCATGGCACATTAGAGTAACAACCTTTAAGCCTAACATGTAGATTATAACATGACTTTTAATGCCTTTATCAGTCACTGAGGAGAGAACGGGAGAAAAATAAAGGAACCAGGAGAGAAAGCATCAAGGGTAGAAAGTTTCAAAGCAAGAATCTCTTTTATAAAGGTGTTTCATCACACTGCTATGTGTTTTCAGCCTGGATTTCATCGTTTTCTCCCCTTAACCAAGTTATTTACATAAACCAACAGGAAAGTGGCAATGCGACAGCAAAATGTGTCATGTTTATATGTTACCAGGGTAACCTGCAAAACTGTATCCATGAGGATGACAGAAACATTGCCAAAAAAATGTCCAACCATCCATTTTCTGAAAAACGTATTCCCAAATGGGGTCACAGGGGGACTGGAATCTATCCCAGTATTCAATTGGCGAGATGCAGGGTACACCCTGGACGGTCCGCCCGTCCATCGCAGCCAAAACAAAGTGTTTTAAACAAAACGGAGGTTATTGTCTGCATCTAACCAGGAACCAGGTATGTGTGGGCATCAGAACAGTGCATGAGCACACTAAAACAAGCATGTTCACGCTGACATTCACATTTCTTGTGAATTCTGTAAAGAAAGGAATAGTTTTTGCCTGATGAGAACAGCTCTGTCTCACTGCACAGATTGCCGCTCTTATCAATAGTGAAGGAGCCTTTCTGAATAGCTCCGGCCGTAATTCTGCACCAATAATATAACTACAGTTCAAATATCCAAATAACTGTAAACATGCAGTCACAGTTAAGTGTATAACTACACGCCAATGCCTCTGCAGCAATCGGCAAGACAGAAAAGGACAGCAGCTGCAGTAGTGAAACAAACACAAAGGTGTTAGTGAGACCTGCCAGCTGAATCTGAAAGCTAGAAAAGACTACAGCAGAGGGCCAGATGAGACCACCTGTAATGTAAGCTGAACTTTTAATTTGGCCTTGGAGCAAACAGCTGTGCTGTCCTCATCTGTGTCGTGCGTTGCTACTAACTATGATTTTAGCTACGGTGATGCTCTCACAACAGATTTGGTCACATATCTGCTTATCTCTTTATTCAGTTTGTTTGAGTTTGCATCTTTTCTCGCACACTGATGGGCATCCTTTGGGGGCATTCTGGGGCCAAGGTAGGTCTTCCAACTTTTAGAGGCCTTGAAATGTATAGTTATGCTCCTAAGAACTAAAAGAAAAAATGTGACGACTGTGGCATTCGGAAATTTGAGGGTACCATCCCAGTCTCTGAACGCCCAGAAGCAGAGTGAGTGAACCTCTGCCTTTTTGTTCATCATTTAGCTGCACCTCTCTGAACTCCTCTGACACTCTTCCCTTTCTCTTCATTTCTCCCTTGATCTCCACGTTATTCCTTCCCTCCCTCTTATCCTGTAGCATCCTTGAATTCGCTCAGCAGGACTGACCGTCTCTCTCTGTAGATTTCCAGCACTCAGCACCTCCCCCCTTACTTTTTCAATCTTGTACTCGTTCCTACCATACATCATCTTTCCTTTTTTAAAGTTATTTTTGAAAAGGACCATATCTTATTCTCTCTTCCCTGACCGTCTACATCCTTCCCTCCATCTTTCACGTCATCTCCATCCCCCCGTTGGTGACAGCCGCTGTCCATTTATTGCTCCTTCCCTCACCGATCCACAGTCATCAATACACTTCCTGACAGCAGCACGGCTGTGTGGCACTCAGGCTGTTTAATGCTCATAAGAGTAGGCTAGATATTTCATACAAGTATATGCGTCTCCTTGTGTCAACATATTCATGAGGGAAATAAGCTTTATTGTTTGTGTCTGAGCCATATGAGTAATGTATATTGCTCTCAGACGCACAAGGCAATAACACCGTCGAACGAGACAGGAAGCCAATACAGCTCACTTAAACAATGATAAAGCAGAAAACCTCCACATTTCAGTTAGCCCATATTTGTTGAACCTGGAGTTGTGCTTCATATGCCAAGAAGGCCAGTTATCAAACTGTATTTGCTCTATATCATGAGTTATATGTCTATAGAGAACTTTTTAACGCTTTTACATCCAAGAAGAAGACTGCAGAGTGAGAACTTTGCTCACAAAATCAGTCTTGGTTCTTCAAAAACAGCAAGATAATTGACTTAGAAAGCCGTTAACACAAATCAAACAGATTCAAGTGCAATTTGTTGCGTGTTGTGCAGATTTGATTGTTTTAAGGTATAAGGTTCCATTGTAATAAAACATGTTTGCAGACAACGGTTTGCCAAAGGCATTTCCCTCCACAAAGAAGAAGATGAAAATCATTTAATCTTACTGAGATATTGTTTCCCGTCTTGCAACCATTCCTGCTAACAGCTCTATTCTAGGTTTTTATCAGGTAGATAACAAAGCTCTGAAAATATGTACAAACCTCTATCATCAATGCCAACAAATTAACAACACTTGGGCTGCTTGTCTCCAGCACTTATTAATGCTTCCCAGCAGAGATGTGATCTCGCTTTGTCTCTGTCTCCTCACACAACACCGAAGCCGACCTGAATGGTTGTAATGTTGCTCATAGCTCTGGTTGTATTCCGGTTGTTTTGCCGTGCAAATATTGCAAACCTAATGTGACACCATGAATTTTTCAGCAGGGCTCCCCATTAGACCCTCGGGCTACGGAAGTGACACACCACCACGCGCAGGCAAACACAGACACACACCTCAGTGACACAGCACCAAAAACGGGCACGATGGGAGCCATTTTCCTGCTTTTTCTGGGCCTACGGTGTTTTTTGACAAATCTCTGGTGTGTGATCTGAAGAAACATGCAGTTTCCCGGCATCCGTTGTTTGAAATCTACAATGCAACAGTCCAGATTACACACAAGCTGAAAAGACAAATGTGGGGAAAATGAGGGCAAAGCGAAAGCTAAATTGAATTATCCTGCTAAGACTATTACAGTGATCATCTCTGTTTATGCAGCTTGCTCAAATGAGAAAAGGTTTGCAGGAAGAAAGGTCCCTTTTAGCCTCCTTTCTGTGGACTGCCAAAGAGGCTTTTTGGCTGTGGCTGAGACTTTTTATGCTGAAATATTCTTAAATCAATAATGGAGAGATCCATTGATCTACTGGCAACACGCAATTGGCTCTGTAGCAGCTAAAGAACGGAGATATTAATATTGATTCACCATCTAGCCGCAATATCACAGCACTCAAAAAACAAAGCCGTCCCACAGAGGACCAAAGCGGAAGCTTTAATGTCTTACCAAACTCCACCGTTAAGGGCAGCCAGTCAAGTTTGTGTTATATGTGCTCTCACTACTCACCTAACAAGCAGGCTTATTATCTTCTTATCCCTTTTATAAAATCCCCATCATTCAAAAGCTGAAAGGACTGCACTTGGGGAACCATTTTGAAAAGTATAAGATTCTGTTTGTAGAAAAGGTGCAGAACTTAACTCAAATTTCATAACTTTAATTAAAATGTAAGGGATTGCATGAAGAATTTCCGGGAATAGCAAGGATAAATGTTTGCTGACATGCTGAAATGTGCTGTGTTTTAGTCTTATTGAAGTAAATGTGTTATATAACTTTTTTATTCTGCTGGCAGATGCTGACAAAAAACAGAAAAGTGTTGAGTGGGTTTACACGATATTCCACTTTTAAGCTTTCATCCTATACCACCTCTTCCATTGGCCTTGGCTTTAATCTAGGAAATTATTTTCTATATAAAGAACTCATTATGTGATAAAAAAACAAATGATTTGTTAATGCCTACAGTGATCTTTTCAGGAAAAAAAAATGCATTTTCCCCTGTCAGTCATAACTGCCATTTGTGTCTCCTCTGAGGTGGAATTGGAGACCTAATGTTTATCTGAATGATGTTGTGTTTCTGTCAGACTGACTTAGAAACATACACATGACATTATAAATGTATGAATATCTATCTGATTCTTTTGTAATATTCACCCCTGAAGAATGAGCACCAATCCCTTCTTCCTGAAAGGTTTAGGGTTATGTGAGCTCATGCTTTATGAGTAGAGTTATCTGAGGTACAATCAGGTGACTCAGGTGTCTGCACGGAGCCAAAAGTGCACCACAAAATAGTACGCAGTCCATCCACAGACCTTTTTGCTGCCATGCCAAGATTTGTCCGAACAACTTCCTTTGTCCGGCTAACAGCTTGTCCTCCATCACTTGTGTGGAGAAGTAAATGAATGACTGAGCAAGGCAGTGAAAAACAGCAAGACGTGTGTTTTACATGATTATGAAACTCGGAAGGACAGTGTTAAAGCTCTTACTATAATATATACCACTTTTTTTTCCTCTGCTCAAGTTTCTATTAAACCCCAGTGCTCTCCCTCGGCTTTCTTCATCTCCAGGGCCAAACTGTGGAGTGGTGCGACAACTGCTACACACTCACTCACCTAAACACACACAGAGTTAAAACACATCACACAGTTTCAGAGATGGAATCACACAAACTATCACGTACAAATCCAGGCCTCTGTAGTGGATCTCGTGAGCACATCTAATCACAGATGCTGCCGCTACCCGCACGTCTGACCTGATCTTTAGATGTCGGTCCAGGAAGAGCCAAACAGAAAAAAAGAGGTGGGATGAAAGGCAGTAAGCGAAGAGAGGTGAGCCAAAAAAAGATCCTTTCTTTAGCACAGCACTGATCAGATTAGCGAAGCAGAAAACTGACTTCGGTGAACTTTCTACAAAGTAAAGCCACCAAGGTAGCAGACATTCTTCCTACAGTGAGTTCATAAAGCGGTGGATAAAGTCGATTTTGTGTTTTACAGTGTTGTTTGACCAGAGTGTGGCACGCAGTGCTCCTCACAGTAATCCCTGCATCAGGTCAACTGAGCACCGCGGACATGTTTATCATGCACGGCCTGCTGGGAATATGACAAGAGGCATCCTCCTCACGCCACAGGACAGCCGCATCCTCACAGCAGCGTCTCAGACAGGTGATGAAATGTCCTCCAGCATCCTTGTGTATACACTCACTCCAACACTCCATTTGTGGACGCCGAGTTCCTAACAAACCGATGTAAGCGTACGCTGTTTTCCAGGCACGTATTTCACAGTCATGCTTCCTGCTGTTGGAGCCTTCGCTCTCCTGGGCTCCAGGTGTGTACGATCATGTGCCCATTTGCATTTCTTCAAACATGTGTCTGCGTGCACTTGTGTGTAGACAGTGTTAATAGTCTCCGTGGATGATGCTAATCAGATTTTCTCCCTCAAGGGAAGATGACTCATTAGTAGTCCACTGCTTACGAGGCTCCTTAAAGTGATATTTCACGTTGGCTGCATTTTTCCCCTTCACTCCACATACTTCGTTTTTAACTGGGAAACCATCCGCCAGCAAGAAATAAAATATGTATTTCAGGAATTTTTTTTAGTACTTATTTTTTAAACTTACTATAACTGAATGTTGATATGTGGCGTCCATTTGCTTTGTTTGTCTTGTGTGAGGGTTGGCATTAAGTTGAAGACAAAGTAAAAAACAATCAATTGTTTCTCAATTTATTGTGGAAATAAACGTGCAGTAAAGCGCTGTTGTGTGTATAAGTAAAGAGGTTTGCTGTCACCATGGCAGATGATGAACAGTTAGTCAGTGCTGGGCAGATGGCCAGCCATGTGTGTGCGTGTGAGAGGTGTGTCCCATGGAGGTGTGTTACTCTGTGCAGTTATTTGTACTGGAAATAGTCTTTTTCTCTCTGAGACTCTCGGCTTGTCTCCTTTCAGTCACTACTATAGATTGGTTGAAAAGTATTGCCAGTCAGCTTATGTAAAGGGGGGGCAACCATCTGAGGAGACAACAGCACCCAATTAGAGGAGGAAAAAAAACATCCAAAGCTCCTAAATAGTATACACTTAACACACAGCTCATTAGCTCTGAATGGAGTCCAACAACTCTGTCGTAAATAAGAGGTATCTACCTAATGCATGTCCTCCATTAAAGCCTCTATACAGAGATAGACGGCTTTTCCTGAGCTGCTGGATGACACATCATTTGTCCTTTGATGACAGGATGTAGAAGCTGTTTTAGCTCAACATGCCTCTCATTAACCTGCCCACTCAATGCAAGACCTCGGTGTTAATGAAAGAGAGAGAAAGGTGAGTGATAACATAATTTATTTTTCTCTTTCCCTCTCACATAATCAAAGACAATATTATAACTGATGCTATGACTGTGCTGAGGTTTTGTTTTTCTTTTTTTTTTAAAAAGAGGTTGCTATTTAGCAGATCAGGATTCAGAGTAACTTGAACATAACCTCCTCAGGGAAACTGCTTTGTAATTACATGCCAGATTGCATGCTTGATACCTGCAGTGTGTGACATTTAAACCAACCATTTTAACCCTTCATATTTAAACTGCACTGTTTAAATAGGAAGGGTTAGTGGCTGTGGTGCCATCATGTGACTTGCAGCTCAAAATCCCATAATGACATCCAATTTAATCCTGGTACAACTCCACATTGTTGCTTTATAAACTCCTCAATCACAGCACAATGCATCAAATCCTAAAATAAGTTGTTATTAAACGCACAGTTCAGATTATCTGCCCTGTTTATTTTTGCTACATAACGCGCAGATAGATGGAGTGAGCAATATTTCTCAAATACCTCACTCCGTCGTGCTCGTGCCTATTATAGGAAATATGGTGACACAGCAATGAAAGAGTGAATTTCACCGCATCTAAACGTTCCTTTCTTTTTTGCCCTCACTTCCTTGTTACTTTTAGTATTACAGATTCACTAACTGCTCCAAAAAGGTAAGAGTGCACCACAGAGCGCATCGTTGGAGCTCTCAGATGGGCAAAAAGAACTCACCTCCCGCAATGGCGAGCAGAGCCAGCAGCAGCTGCGGCCAGCCATCCATCATCATCCCAGAGTCCGTGCCCGGAAAGGTGTTCACCGGGAAGGAGAGGCCACTAGAAGCACACCCGCAGTGTCACTCCCCTCCTCCTCCTTTACGATCCAAACCTTCCTTCACTCTTTACCTGGCATGGTGATGTCAGGGGCTTTCCGTCGCACCACTTTTCTCGCCCGATCGGTGGTAGACAACCCCCCCCC